CCCCTTCTATCTAGTCAGTCGCCAATCCTTCAATGTAGTCTTTGAAATGATCCTCATGTTTCTTTAAAATGATGCTTGTGCTTCTTTCTCTCTCCCCTCCTCATTCACTCTTCTTCCCCATAAGTCTCTGCACTTATCCGCTGAGCATCTGGATGAAAGAAACAGCCTTCAGAGTGGCCCATTCTTAGGCTAATTCCTTTCCTAACAAGTCCACCTCCTCCCTCCAGCTGCTGCTAGATGTTCCCTAAACATCTTTTCCTCACCTTGTTTTTTACTCAAAAATCTTCAGTTGAGGTTCTATATCCTATCACCCCTTCATCATTACATCAAAACTTATTAAAGGTATTGGCACTTTTTCATCTTTGTGTTTCTTTCATCTTTTTCATCTTTGTATTTTCCACTGTGTCAGACATGAAACAGATGCTGAATATATACTTAATTACCATAAAAATGGAGATTTGTTTCTCAATTTTTAAGATTTATGTCCAATCACTTTTTTTTTTTTTTTGCGGTACGCAGGCCTCTCACTGTTGTGGCCTCTCCCGTTGCAGAGCACAGGCTCCGGACTCGCAGGCTCAGCGGCCATGGCTCACGGGCCCAGCCGCTCCGCAGCATGTGGGATCTTCCCGGACCAGGGCACGAACCTGCGTCCCCTGCATCGGCAGGCGGACTCTCAACCACTGCGCCACCAGGGAAGCCCCCCAATCACTTCTTCTTTTTTTTTTTTTTTCCAATCACTTCTTAAAGCTGTTTTGTTTTCTTCTTCAGTCCAAGCCCTTATTAATTTCATTTCCTTTGTACTCTTATGATATTACCATAGCAAAGAATAGAACACTTAGTTTTCTATTACTCGTGATTTGTTATTGTTGCAAAATATTTCTGCTAATTCATTAGCTCATAAACTACATACTACTGAGCAAATGGCAGCAACACTCCAACAAGTCCACAGATAATTGTTTATTGCTTTGCTGAATAACAATTCCACAGTTTGTCTCTACCAAATTACATCATGATGTAAAATGGGTGTTTGGGGCTTACAGATCCTTTTATAATGTACCCGGGGCTTACAGTATAACCCAATCCTTAATACAAGTAATAGAAGACCTGTCATAAGACTAAAGGAGAAGCCTGTAAAGTTAATGGAAGTTTCCCATTATAGGCCATGAGTCTTAACAACAGACCTTTCAGTTAAGACATATGAAAAAGAAACAGAAACAGAGCTAGATAAATGGTGTATCAAATTGTATTAGTTTATATGTAATGAATCTTTCACTTCTGAGTTTGTTTTTGCATCCAGATGACCCTTGAACACTCATTCACTCTCAGTTTCTAAGCAAAGTTCTCAATTAAAGACTGCTTCCACATCTGCAGAAGTTCAAACAGTCTACAAGTCACAAGTTCTTTATATGCATGGATCTGTTATGCAAATGTTCTAGAATTATTGTTTTGACCAACCAACTTTACTCTTTAATTTGATATACAAAGGTGCTTTGCCTGCAAATCCCCAGGATTCTTTTTTTTTTTTTTTTTTTTTGCGGTACGCGGGCCTCTCACTGTTGTAGCCTCTCCCGTTGCGGAGCACGGGCTCCGGACGCGCAGGCTCAGCGGCCATGGCTCACGGACCCAGCCGCTCCGCGGCATGTGGGATCTTCCCGGACTGGAGCACGAACCCGTGTCCCCTGCATCGGCAGGCGGACTCTCAACCACTCACTGTGCCACCAGGGAAGCCCCCCCAGGATTCTTTAGAAACAGAACCAGCCCTGAGAACAACCAAGCCTTTAAAAATATTTCCATACTTTATTTCTTCCTATCTTTTTTAAATAAAGAAGGAAAGCATTTTTAATCTCCATTCAGTTACATAGAATTGGAACACTGCTATGTAACAGAAATCATCATACTAATGCACAGAAACTGAAAGTCAAGCAACTTTGGTCGAGGCTGAATTGAATTAAGTGTTGATCTTGTAAACATTTCCATAGGAGGTAGCCATACACATTTGACTTTTTGTCAAATAAGGGATAGTAAACAATGATTCTGAGATCCTAATAAATTAAAAGTATTTTAAAAGCATTAAATAAATGTTTCTCTTTTTTAAAAACCAAAAGTGAAACAGCACACAGATTTTCAATAAATTAAGAAGTGAAATATTAAATCTTCAGAGTTGAAATGTCTGCATCTTCAAAGCTCCACTGGTTCCATTTGATAATGTTTGAAACTATGATTAATAACGGGACCACATTCTAAACAACTTGTGTGCAAGGCAAACTCTGTGAATATTACCATTCACTATGGTGTTGTCCATAGTTTTACACCGGTGACCTGAAAAACAATACCGTGCCACTGGATATTCCATTTTCTTTCTCTGACAGCGGTCTGAGTAGATAGCATGTGAGCACTACAGACTTTTCAAGTTTCAACCCCTACCCAACAGTGCTGGCTTAAGTGCCTCCAGCTGCTGTTCCCATGAACACAGTGTTGATTGGTGGTAGAGAGGATGCCATTTCTCTACCATTTGCTCCATGGGAGTCCAAGGTTTCTTGAACTGCATATTGATTGGAAGTTCCATACATACACTGGGATGAGGAGGAAGGAATCGGGGTTTGCAAGCTGGATGCTGTAAGGGAAAATATAATCATCAATTGGAAATTGACTGACATTTTCTTTTTTCTGTGCCACTCACTTTACGACTGGTGCATTGAGCACATATATCTGTACTAAATTTGAGTGTGTATGGTTTCTCAGAGCAATGCTCATCTTTTCTTCCATTTCCCCCCCTGCTATTCTCCCACAAATTTTCCTTCAGCACATTTCACAAAGAAAATTCAATTTCAAACATAAATTCAGACAACTGTATCACCAAAATATATCCCCAGTCTACGTTCTTTTTCCAGCTGCACCTCCACCACTGTAGTTCAAACCACCATCTTCTCTTACCTGGACCAACACAGCAGCTTCCTAACTAGTCTCATGACCCTCACCCTGCAGAGAACAGCCAGGATAATCTTGCTGATGTGTGTATTAAATTGTCCCTCTTCTCAAATGCTACAATGACTTCCCATTACTCTTAGAACAAAATCCAAGCTCCTTGCCGTGGTTCATAACATCCTAGATGAATTGGTCTCTGCCTTCTGATTTATTTTACTCCCCTCTCTTCATACACTGTACTCAAAACACATGAGCCTTCTTTCCGCCCATTGAATTTTCCCAAAATGGTCCCATTTCAGAAACTATGCAACTTGCCATTTCTTCTGCCTGGAACTCCATCATCAAATCTTCACATCATTGCCTCCTTATCACTCAACTTGCAACTCAAATATTTCTGCCTCAGGAATCCTTTCCGAGCTGCCTTACCTAAAGCAGCTCCTCCGTTACTATTTGTCATTTTACCCTATTTAATTGACCTGAGAGTAACTGAAATTATCTTTTTAATGCATTTGTTTATATTTTCATTGCCTTATCTCTTCCTACTGGAATGTAAACTTCTTACAAGCAGGAACTCTGACCTGATTACCACCATAACCTCACACCTAAAATGAGGTTCGGCACATAATAGTAGGTTCTCAAAACTTTTTACTAACTGGCTCGCTAGCACTACCTTTCCTGCATTTTTGGTTCCTGCCTTCTCAGTGCTGTTTTTCTTCTTTTTCTAAGTACCATCATCTCTGTCACTAAAAACCAGGCTTTATAATTAAGGAAATATAATTATAGGTCCTAACTCCCCTTGTGCCACTCATTCACTTACTCTATTCCCTCTTTTCACGCTGAAGCCCTCTTTGCAATTTACTTGTAAGCCAGCTCTGACAACTAAAGCTTAGAATCTGTCCTACACCCAAACTATGTTTCATCAAAGCATCCACTATCACTACAAGTAAACAGAACTAATAGTAACAATAGCAACTCCGTACATTTCAGTCTCACAGTGAGGAAACTTCCTGAAGTGGAATTTTCTGCTTCATTAGAGTAACCCAGAAGCAATGACCATCTGCAGATAGCATAAGATGATAGCAGACTCTGCTCAGGGAGCGTCTGTGATGGTCATAGGAAGGGAAGTAGTGCTTCCTATTGAATTATTGGAAAAACACACTGAGTGAGGAGAGATGCAATGTATTTCATTTTCCCTTATGCTCTGTTTGGGTGTCAATGCCCTCTACTTATGCTAATCTGAAATCAGTTCCATTGGAAGATTTCAATCATCTCATTTAAACATTAACACTCCGCCTTGATACTTACGTGGATATAATACTCGCCCTGTGATACCTTATTAGCAGGTTTAGAAACTAAATCTATGCATTTGTTTCTGCCCCTTTTTTCAGCTCAGTGATGTAATGAGTTCGTATATGTGGCAGACTCTTTGCTGGGTGTCGGTGATGCATCTAGTACAAGTTGCCGTATTTTCTCAGGGACAGCAACCCGGCTGGAATAAGAAGCCAGGGGACTTCATGGCAAACATACAGTTTTGCTCATTTTTACTTAAAATGTATGTTCTAGAATAAGAAAGCAACATTTTCTACAGAGGTATCTAATCACATTTTACATACAACTGAGAAAATTATAGTAACCTTCATTACAAGTCACCATTTTCTAAAACTTGGAGTGGTTTTAGGATACTGATGGAGATTATGGGGTCCAAAGACAGCTCTTGGCACTGGCCCTGCTTCCAACAGTGAACAAGAGAAAGTGAGAAAAAGATATCATTATTGCCCTTGTAAAACTTAACAGATTTTTGGACTGCGTTTGACAGGTTACCTCAATTTTTTGCATACATAATAGATTCCAGAGATTTGTTTTGGAAAGAATACCAGATCTAGCAGTAGGTTGCATGGTGACATGTATATAGAGAAATGGCAAGGCTTTTACTAACAGATTCAGAAACATAACTTCAGATCCGAAGTGATAAACCAACTGTGGGAACGTGAGTGCCCAGTTAACACTGCATAGCTGAGGTTAACAACTTTTAAAGAACGTTTTCAAGAAACGTTAATATAATTTACCTACTACAGGAGTTCGACATGCAACTGCAGTTGGTGTGTCTGCATAAAACGAGCTGGTCTGCTTTCTACTACCATCGTCTAAGATGTTGAGTGGATCATGGATGTCACCATAGGGAGGCAGGGAGCGAACACTGCTGATGACAGAAACATGTTGATTCACCATCGATCCAAGTCTGTGAGACTCTGGGTAGTTCACATTGCTTCCGTAGTACCCTACAACAGAAAACGGTGAGACTGTAGCGTTAACTTATTACAAGTAATGTTCCGGGAAGACAAACAAAAGGACAAGGTAATAGGATAGAGCCCTAGAGATAGCATACTGTAAATATTACATTTACATCTACATTTACAATATGGTTGGATTTGTGTTTATAGATAGATATGGTTCATTATGTTGTTTTTTGTTTTAAAAAATACATAGGCATTATCATATTATCAAGTCTGAGATGGAAGACAACACCTCTCTCATATTTCCCTTATTTAAATTAACAAGATCTTACAATGCTTATGAAGGAAAAAAAAAGGCACTGTCAGCCTCTCACAAAGATTACTTGTCAAATACTGATTTTATTTACAGATTCATGTTTCTGGGAGAAGGACTGGCCTACACTGAGGAGAGGCGCATCAGAGCAGCCTCTACACAGAGCTTACTTTGGTGGCTGACTGAGTCCACAGATTTTTGCAACTCAGTAACCTCAAGGTACTTCAACGGGAGGCACTGTTTGGGTCCTAATCTTTAAGATCTGCTGCTAGCTCTCCAGAAGAAACATTATTCACTAAATTTTCAAAGGACAGAACATTCTTCTTTTGGGCTATTAAGGTTGGTCTCAAACATATGGTTCGACATAATATTTTTGCATCATGCAGGACATTTAGAAGGGCAACTTTAATAAAGTCACAAGAATTAGGGATATGTTTGTATGTGGCAGAAATTGGCTCCAAATATCTAAGATTCCATGATTTTGAGAAAGCTCTACATGGGATGACATGCTGTTCACCGGAGGTAGAACTCCATGTCTGATTTTGCCTTACTGCCAACTCAAAAGCCAGGAAAAATTCTTAAACAATTTCAATACCATTAGGTGAATTAGGAGGCAATGTTGCTCCTTGGCAGCTGGCAGCTCCTGTGTTGCTCAGGAAATTGAAGCTTCCTGTATTTAAAAACTGCATACTGTGTGAATCTTGGCCATGTGGGGATGGTCCATAGCTGGAAGATGGCCGAGAATTATATGGGGACCCAGCACAGCTGCCACTGAAGAAGTCTCTAGAAAGCTGCTGTTCACTCCAGACCATGCATCGACTGTGCTCGGGGCGGTGAGGATAGAGTCCCGATGGGGTGTGAGGCTGTGCCCTAAACACAGTCTGATAGTTAGAGTTGGTCCCATAAAAGTCATGGTTGGCTTGAGGGAGAGTAGGATAAACAGGCTCTGAGTATGCTGAGCAGTGTGCTGGGGCTGACAGCACTGGGCCCACACTCGGGGGTCTCCCTGCCATTGGCCCCTGATTAATGACGCTTCCTCGGCTCGCCATGGCTGGAGAAATGGGTGGTGTCATCAGATGACCAGAGCTCTGGGAAAGCTCCATTGGACCTGGAAAAAAGTTACCAGAGCATTCACTAGCGGCAAATTAAAAATAGATGGCTTCACAGCTTTCAAAATTACGCATGATTTATTACTATACCTTTTTTCCAACTTAGTTCATTTCTAACCTCCAAAAATAATGGGACTAGGGACCTATAAAACTCTAGGTTTAAAAAACAGCATCACAACAGTGTATTTCACAACAGTGGCAACTTTCGGAGTTAGTGACTATGGAGGAAAGCTTGGGATGGCTTCATCCTTCCGTGGGTATAAAGATGATTAGAGATCAAGCTTGGGAAGGGCAAGGGGTCTGCTGTTCACATTTCTCTGTAATTAAAAAACAAGCTGAAGGCTAAATGGTTTCAAGTTTAGGGTAAAAGAAAAGGGCAATAATGTCAAAATGACCGTGGCTTCAAAGCGGTCAATTCAAAACTTCATACAAACCCCACTGATGAGCAATGAGTTATGAAAGCCGCCAAATCCCTGGGTCTCCAATTTTCCATTAGTGGAATTACGCCCCTAAACTACCCATTCCAGGTTTAAAATTCTGTGTGTCCAATGAAGTAAGGTATATAGAAGGATTTCAAAGAAGACATAAGGCAATAAGCAGACTTAAAGTATTATCTAGTAGCTGGTTTAAGCCATAAACATTCAGATTGACAGAAATGGGACCCTACACTAAAGAGGAAAATTATTGTAATGGTTATCCTAAAATAGCTGAATCTACTTTTTAATGGAGGAGAAATAAAGTCTCCTCGAAATCCAAAAATAAACAAGAAGCTCATATTTTTTGACTTCCAAAGCATTTTAATGATTTTGTGAACACCTAATCTATTTTTTTCTTCCACTAAATGAAAATAACCAATTATTGGGACCTCTGAGATAACTAAGAGAGTATGTTAAAATGTGATACCTATCTTAAAAATGGTATTGATATAAATGTGAATGACAAATGTTGAAAATCACAAAAATATTATAAAGCTTTGTTATAAGTCAGTGAAGAGAAGCCTTTTTATTCTTGAAATGCCTGGAGTTTACCAGCTTTAAGAAAACAAAGGAATAGTTTCCTGTGAGACATATTGAAGCCTATGAGGTTTTCTTGGTTGTTTCATAGCCTACCAGTGAGCGGCATGTTGTCTGTGTTCCCAGCAGGGAATGGGTGCAGAGCAGAGGTTAAGCCTCCAGGTTGACTGGATGATAGAGGAAGATAGGTTGTTTCCACATGGCTTTCATTCTTCACGGTATCGCTGGGAACAGTGCTGCCTTTATTACGGTTGGCCAGAAAGCATGAACTCGGAGAAGCAGTGAAGGCAGCTTTACTTGCATCTGGAAAGATTTTTTTAAATAGGAAAGCTAATATCATTGCCATGTTCTTAGTGGATAAGCCCAAGTTAAAAAAAAAAAAAAAACTGAAAATGTTCTAGGGTTGTGTCATAAATCTGGAAATTCCTGAGAAGTGTTTTCCATGGGAAATAAGACTGGCAGATCTTTGGTGTTGGCAGTGGTGCTGGTTTTTGTTAATTGTATATTTGTGGATGTAGGTGTGTTCTTCAGGGCACTAAATAATCCACTCTGTAGTGAACAGCCTTCAAAATGCAAGTCATCACATCCCAAATATATTGTGTCCCTCCTTCTTTAAATTCCTATAGAACTCATCTCTACGCCATTTATAAGGTGGTATACCACATGTGCTGTCTTAAATTCTAGTTATTTTTGTATTATTGTCACTTGTCCAATATTATCTGAGTTCTCAGAAGTTAAGAATATTGATTTGTATTCTTCAGGGTTTCCAGTAAAGTACCTTGACTACTCTATATACCAATGGAGGAAAGAAAAAATAGGGCTCTCTTAGTGTTAGTAACCTGTGTTAGTAGTGACATTTTGGGGGTAAAATCTGAGACTGTTATAAATCCATTTAACAAGTGTGCTTACAAATTCTTGAACTTAGGTTTCAACAAAGACATATGCAAAACAAGATATACATTTTAAATCACCTGAATTCTTCATATACTTGTCCAGTAAATTCTGTAACTCCTGCTCTTTGTCATTATTAAACTGGGTCTCCATGGCCAGCAGAATGTATTCATCAAGAAGCATTCGGATCAAATGGAAAGAACCTTGTTTACGGATAGGGAATGGGGAGAGGGCATTGTGAGATGAAATGAGGGAGAGAAAGAGAAGGAAAGAGAAAGAGAGAAGTCAAGTTATCTTTGTGACCATCTCGAAACACTTTACAAGGAGCAACTGAAATAAACAAATACTTGTTGGACTTTAAATGACCTGCTAAGACCAACATGCTTAACTTGGGTCTCTAATCTTTTTGTGTACCGCCTGCCCAGCTCACTGTGTGTACTGTCCTGCCAGCTCTTTGACCACTAATTACATCAAAGGAAAATTCGGATGAAAGTGAGACATGCTTTATGCTTTAAGAGGGCACACATTGGAGTGTGATAAGCTTTAACCTGGGGAGAATGAGCTCTACTCTGCTCTATTTCTGTTTACTTTGTACTAAATAATTAGACAATAGCCAACATGGTCTGAAAAAAGTATCAAGTAAGAAGATGTCTTTCTAGCCTGAAACAAAATGCTCTTTCATTTGAAAAAAAAGGAGAAAAGTAATTTTCATGTGGAAGATGTCCTGGAAAACCTCAAACTGCTTTTAACTGTTCAACAGATTTTCCAACAAAAGTCTTTTTTCATAATAAGGTCAGGTTTAAATATTGTATAATTCAAGAAACCTTAAATATAAGCAACATATTTCAAATCATAGACAATATATTTTGTTCATCCCTCAATACAAGTTCACTGATTTTATCTAATTCTGTTAAAAATTAAATAAACCAATTTAGTTAACTGTAACCTATTTTATAATGCGAGGATTTCTCAAAATGCAACTACTAAATGTGGAGGTACTGTCCAGGAGATAGCGTTATAACTACAAACTAAGAATCTCAGAAATTTTAGGAAAAAGAAGGTATTCGATTTTTGAAAAAGCTAACGACTCAATTGTTTCATAAGTTGTATAGATCAGGATAGATGGTTCAAAAACATATGACAGCATGTCTTCTAAGCTGGTCTTGGATTCTTGGAATACAACTATGAGGGTAGGTTCCTGGAAAAGATGCAAACATTTGCCATATTTCAATGAATAGCAGTTTTGGAAAATAACGTATTAATTATTGTTTATTTGCTTGTTTAACAGAGAAAATTTATCGAAGCACTGATGGAGTGTCATGGTCATAGCTGCTATTTATTGTGTTTTCCAGGTCCTGGCAATGTATTTTTATATATATCACGTCACTCAAGTGCCTCTATAACCCAATGAAAGAAATAGTCTCCCATTTCTACAATGAGCAGCCTAACTCGGGTTAAGCCAAGCCGAAGAGAAGCAGTGTTAGGATTTAACTCTGCAAGTGGTCTGACTACAAAACCCAGGCTAAAACCGACCATTCTCCACGGGCTCAAGAGTCCAATTTGAGAAATGACAGTGCCACATGCTTAAAAACTGATAGGAAATGTGACTGAGGCATGAAAGATATAATTCATCTAAGAAGAGTTTTATAAAGCACATAAGATACCAAAGCTAGATGCATTGTTCAAGGTGAGATTATGCATTACTCGAGCACCAAAAAAGCTCCACTTTAGCAGAAAGTCTTGAGCCCTCTTCTTTAATGATCTTCCATTTTGTTTGCTGGTCTAAAAGTAAAGGAACAAAATGAAGCTATAGAATCTGTCATTTCATTATTACATGCTTCTTATGTAAGATCAAGAGGTAGAAAAACTGACAAACGGACAGATTGACAGGGCATGCCATTTATTTTATCAAATAAAATGATGTGTCTAGGGATTTGAATTTTCATATGGCTTTGTCATCATTTTTCAGGTTAATAGGTCTTTATTCTATATGGTTTTGTTACCTAATAAATTGGACAACGAAATGAAATAATTTACAAAATATTTTCTCTCTTAATTTTCCTTTGACAGAGCTTTAAAAAAAGCAGAAGGCGAAGTATGAAGGAAGGGTTATATATTTCTGTGAATGATTAACTCTGACTTCTCTGGTCCTGAATGATCATCTGTTTTCCTTCCAGGAGAAAAAAAGTCCCTACACTATAACTAGT